ATAGAACTCACAGGACCTTTGATAAAAATAGAAATATAATCATTTGAAACCACACATCAACTAGTGCATATAGTATTCAGCCCAAATTTGCTAGTGGCCTCAAAACATTAAAATTGGAACGACAGTGAGTTAATTAATAATAGAACCAAACTAAAATGCTGGCACCCAAGTCTCCTGACTTCCAGCCCAATGCTCTTTGCTCTGCCTAATATGCCACATGAATCCTCATCTCAGAAATAAAGACCACATGGAACAGCAAAAAGATGCTTTAGCCAGAAAGGAAAACAGAATATAGAAAAAAGCAAGCAAGAAAGAAGTTTCAGAGCTTTTTAAAAGTGCATGCAAACAATATTGATGGAATTTAGCATTGTGAAAACGTTGAATGGTAGATACAAAATATATGCGTATACACATACAACAGTTACACATTTAAAGAATATAAAAATATCCTGTTATTAAAAAGTCCTCAGAATACTGGATGGCAAGAAAATTTTTTTAAACATCTTATTGTAAAATAATCTTATACTCACAGAAAAGTTACAAAAATAACAAAGTTACCTGTATACCCTTCAACCAGCTTCTGCTAATATTAATATCTTATATAACCACAGTAACTTTATCAAAACCAAGAAATTAACATTAATACAATAACACTAACTGCACTATATACTTCATTCAAATTTTATTAGTTTTTCAATTATGTCCTTTTCTGTTGTAGGATCTAATCTAGAATCTCATACTGCATTTAGTTGTCACATCTCCTTAGTCTCCTCGACCTGTGAAAATTGCTCAGTCTCCTTACAACTTCCACCATTGACTCCAGTTCTTTCCTCTGGAATCACACAAAGAATTGATGGCCATGTTTATTCTACCCATTTCTAGGAAAGTAAGTCTCTATTAACATACTTATAAGTAAAAGTTGATTACTTGTCTTCACATATATCGCTGTGAAATAGTGGGTAGAAAGTTTATCTTGGAGCACTGGAAATTGCCACAGAAATGAACATCTGAATAGCATCTGCTTCCTCTTTTACTGATTCTGTTCCCAGTTTCCACTAGTCACTATCAGCTCCAATTCTGCCATTTAGCTAAATTTCCAAGTGCTGTAAATGGCAAAAGATTAAAAAAAAAAAAACTAGCTTTGCTAGAAAATATAAGTTCAAGAGAAAAATTAAAGAGAATAGTCAAAATATTTTCAAACACTCATTTTTATATGAGTCTAAGAAATAAAAAGCAATTGTGCCTTTCACCTACACAGAGGTCTCTATATTTGAGCACTGCTGACATGATTTATCAGCAGCTAATTTCAGTGAGGTCAATGTGGACACCATTTCTATGTCTAATTGTCCCTCTCTCATCTTTAATCGGGAATTTAAGGAAAATTAAGAAACAAAGGTTTTGATTACTTTACCCAAGGATAGCACAGGTCACAGTAATCTTACCAGCCAACTTTCAAAGAACATACCCATTAAGCTCTTTTTCTATATGAGAATCTCCCAAAGCTACAGGGAAAAATAAAATCTACTTTCTGTTCTCTCTTACACTCCTGATCAGACGTTCTTTGTCAGCCTCTCCCTTTAAAGAGTTCTTATTCACATTCCCAGCATACTCCAAAAATCACTGAGTATGTGATTCTTTCAGTTATGGCAGGGGAGGGACAGCTATCTTATACGTAAGGTTATTAATGATCCTTACGGGTAAATCTCAGAATTAAAATCGACTTTAACAACTTTCTGACACCTACTAGTTGCACCAATTGGCTTACACTCTGGGAAAAGAAAAAGGTGGGTGGGAGGACACACCAGAAGAAGCCCCTAAATTTAATCTCTTCTCAGATTTCATAATGGAAAGTAACTAGATATTCCTGCAATTTTCTATAAGCTTGGCTGAAAGAACCCACAAGAGAACATTCTTTTCAGCTTATATGAAGTATCTGAATCCCTTCCCTACTGACCAACAAGACCAATCATCTCACTTCTTCTTCACAATCTTCTCTTTGCTGACATCACAGGTCTTAAAATTCCCTATGATCAGACAAGGAAGTATGTACATTCCCCACTACAAAGAATGGGTTGCACTTGCTCTTCTGTACTGCAGTCCTCCTGAGCACCTTCTGAACTCAGAGTCTCCACAGGCATATACTGTAATTTTAGAAAACTTGGACAAAGGATTTGCACCAGTTGTGGAAAAACGTCACACACAGGAAATCTAGTTAGGAAAGTATTCCTCAGGAGAGCAAATGCTTGCTCAGACTCATTATTATAATTTAGTATCATTAAACAGCAGCTCCCAGAGGTCGTAAAGAATACAACTAACATCTCTAATGATGACGTGATGATCACTGATGATCAGCCTACTTATTTAGCTCTCTTCTTGAAGTTGCTGCAATATGGTTATTTCTGAGTCTGACTACATATTTGACCAAAATGGTGAGGTGTGAAGGGTATAAAGTTATATGGGGCTTCCCAGTTTCACTTTCCCAAATATACCTTCTAAGAGTAAAAAATATAGAGCACTCAACTCAAACTACATCCCAGAAGCTTTCTCCTTAATTTCATTTCTGGCTTGGCTGCCCTGTATTTGGGCAATCAGAGGAATGAGCTATGCTATCTCTTTATTTAATAAAGACTACCTGGTATCCCCCAAAGTCTAGATAAGTTAATGAAACAACAAATCACACAGAACTCAATGTCATGTTGAAATTTAAGTTCAAATACTTTTATAAAGAATGTATTCTTCTTTTAAGAAACTGCATGTAATAGATTCTGATGAGAGGTTTGGTGTTTGGCCATCAGGGCCATGCAAGCTGATTCCACATTCCCAAAGGACTTTTCTTGATTTTATGGATCCTAGGATCCTCAACCACTTTCCAACACCTGAGCAATCATGAAAAATGGTAAAGATTTTTAACCACCAGAAATGTTTAGGACCTGCCCGGGGTGGTGGACCTTACTTATTTAGGCAACAGGCACAGGCCCCTTAGGATGAAACCAAATGGCTATCAACTTCATCTTGGGAACCCTGTAACTTCTCATATGATATACCTATGAGTGTGCTGGGCACCACATCGAAATTTTGTGTGATGCTTCTTTTCAAGAGCAGGACTTCATCTCTTTATCTCCTACTCTATAGGAGTACTTATTACTTCCCTACTGTTCCGTGACCGTTAAATGGTTAAGAATGCCTCGTACAACTCTCTCCTGAGTGCAGACT